CCTACATATCCATGCAGGACCGCAGCCGCTTCATACCAGTCCCTTTGCTTCATACTTAGCAAATGAAGCAGTACGAGGATCAAGTACTGTCGTCCATTTGTTGGCGGGCGGGGAGCAGTGGGCGTCCCGGTCGGTATGTTGCAGCTTGGTAGGGCGCTATAAGGATACCTTCGTGAGGAAAGGCTCTGCTAAGCGCTTGCTCAGAGGCGCCGAATTCCATCCTGCCAGGAACTTAATCCTTATGAACGCATCCCGCTATCACTGCTCCAGAAACTCAAAAAAATTCTTTGCAATCTCGTCCAGGGGTTATTCAGTGGCGTAACCTCTGCGGACGAGGTTTTTGGCGCTGGTGATATTTGCACCGATTCGGCGCCACCACCTGTCTCACTGAAATCCATGAAAACTTGTATATGGGGGTTATTTTATATTCTGACCACGAATATCACGCTCACTTTTGGTTCTGGCACTATTTTGTCGTCGGCTCCTTTCTCACCGAAGTCGATGAAAATTTGTGTACGTGGTTCTTCAACATCCTGATCACGAGTATGACATACTTGGCGCTGGCGCCAATGAAAGGAACTCTGATCATCTGCGCTCAGCTGAGGCTTGGCCTGGAGGGAATCATTCCTCCTAGGGCGACCCTTAGCAGAGCACTATACTGCGCTGGTGTCAGGAAATGAATGTCATTTCTGTGATCAGGGATCAACGAACCATATAATACAAGTTTCATCGATTTTGGTGAAAAGGTGTTCGCGCCAAGCTATCGCCTGTTTGCGCCACAGGCGCCTGTGCCGACAGCGAATGTCATATCCGTGACCAGGACACCGAATAAAATCTGTAGGCAGAGTTTCAGCGAAAGAAATTGAGCTAAATCGTAGTATAAGTGATAAGCCAAAGAGATAATGCAATTGCCGATACTCTGATGGACGATTGATCACAGAAGTTAGAAGAAAGGACAAGAAGAAAGGCTTTATTCTGAAGATAAACAACAAGGGATTAATATACAGTTAATTCGGACTGATGTAAGCAAAGATCGCTGCTAAAAATGAACAAGAAAAAACAGGCAACGAAAATGGAACAAGCCGCTCAACCGGTTAGCATATATTGCGAATCTGTAGAATAAGAGAGTGACCAAAGAAAAGTGAAGGAAATTTTTGGCCTTTCGGAAAATAGCAAACGCAAACTAAATATCTGCTAAGGCCAAATGTCTACAAGATAAGATGCAAAAGTGTACGAACTACTGCGATAATCAACCTCTCTTGGGGTACGCCACGCATCCCACTTCTATACAGTATCGTAACGTTTGAATACGATTCGCCCTATACATGCAAATACGCCGACGGTGTACGAATCCTTCTTTGATCCCATCCCACTATTAGGTGTCGAACGTACTAGAAACCTACGGAAGGATGAAATGTCAGGTTCACCCGATCAGAACCCAACCCCGAGTCTTGTACTCAACTGACTTGCAACGCGCGACTGGTAAGTGCTCTTCGTCGATTCGGTTTTTGAGTACTGTAGCTGAGATGAAGTGATATCCCCAACTATTCATAACTCTAACAGAGGACTTCAAGACTTCATCATCAGCACAAACCTGGATTTCCGGCTATGGTGCTATACGGCGGGAACACGGAGTCGGCAGCAACTACACTTCCTGGTAGGACACGACAGCACTCTTTCAACACCGCACTGCCACCAATCACTGATCCAGCGCCTATATGCACGAATGAGCATATCTGTGCTGCGCTAATCACACAATCCTTAAAGAATGCTTCAAATGTCTGGTAAAAAAGAACATGAACAATTGGTAGATCATTCTTTCAAACGAGAATGCTGTCGATCATTTACACAGAAGCTGTTTCAAATGATTCGTAACAGCATTATCCATTTCTACTATGTAAAGTTAGAAGGGGTGCAAGCACCCAAACAAAAAAAATCAACATTCTTACCTCCTCGATCATAACGTGATCTCCAATGTGAACTGGGAACAACGTGACTCCTTTACTAAATTTCTTCGAACTTGGTCGTATCAATGTTCCTTGCCGTATAATACAAAACCGCCCGCTTCGTATAGCGGCCAGATCACCACGAATTATGACATCTTTCTGGACAATGTTCTGAAAATGAAACATTACTACACATTCAAAAACTCAGAGCAGTGTGCAGCTCGGTGTGCAATCGTGGTGTTAGTACTACGCCCCCCCCCCCCCTTCAGAAGTTCTTCTTCCAGCATCCATAATTAGCACATATAGGCCTTGCCGCGCCACCAACTATGGAAACGGGGATGGTTACTGCGCGTGGAACTGGAAAAATCAACAATCTGACAATCTGAAAGATTACTACCAAGGCTGTAGACCACTCCTCCCTCACCACCGACCGAGTGCGATCCTCGCAGGGATTCTCCTAGCGATGCTACACCCTGGTCTGAAAGGCCTTGTGAGGCGCGTATCAGTCTCCTCCTCTCCCATGGTCCGCTTAGCAAAGCGCAGATGACCACAGTCTGCGCGGCCAAGCGTGGCAAAGCAGCACAGAGAGTAGTCATGCAGTGCAGTTGCATGGTAACTCCGACCTACATTAGCACGCAGAAGTGATGTAGTTCTAAGCACTTTGAATCAGTTGTAAGTAGGAGTAGAGTCAAAATTAGTATGAGTCAAAATTTCCAAAAGTGATTCCACTAGCTCTGGCGCTACAGAAAGGTTATTAAACATTATAACATAAAAACATTTATTATTTCCCAGCCCAGTTCAATCGCCACAGCACAGCATGCCCATGTTAGATCACTTAGGTTGAAGCATGACACTCTTTGCAGCGATGCAACGTAGGTCTCCTGACCGACACGCACCAGGATCTGGCTCTGCCACTACTCCTCCAGCGAAAAAAAGCAGGTACTAACATTAGATATCTCAGCGACTCAGCAGCCGTATTAATTATTGGTAGGGTATTGTTTCCACCAAGAAGTAAACTTCAATCGTACGGAAATACTATAGATGCAATATGATGGTTTAAGAAAACTGGAAAATGTCCCTAAGACACACTGACCTTTCCATTCAAGTACTATGATTCTGCGTTCGCACAGATTAGTAAGCTGTCTTTCGTGGAATGAACTTTACATATCTTGTTACCAGAATTTGTCTCTACATATTCCTTCTTTTGAATAATTAACTATAGGAAGATCCATACAAATATCTGGAACAGGTCTTTTGTAGGAAATTCATTAAGCTGCGTTCATACTTTACGGCAGCATCCACCAGCGTATGCCAGAATGTCGGGATCTAACGAAGTATAGGTACCAATCTGCGAACGCCAGCGTCCACCAGCGTACACCAACGTTTTCTCGGTCACTTTTGAACTTGAGCAAAACTGTCCCGAAAAACGCTGGTGGACGCTATCGCAAAGCGTAGCTTCAGCGAAAAACTGCCCAAACAATTGATATGATACAATGTCATCTAGTAGTAACACCAGAACCATTGATTAACAACAATATTATAAGAAATTTATTCATTTTCTAGAACTATACAAGTGAATTAGAGACTTCATATTACGTGAGCAGTACAGCTGAAGGCATCGCCTGGAGTGGTCAGCACAAAGCCTAGCAATCCATATGGCTTTATTCGCTTTTCTTTTCCTACTGAACATCGAATTTCAAAGAGACATCGAAATTTCAAAGAACAGAGAAAAGGGGAAGCAGGGTCCTCTGCTGAACCTCCAGCGATCCATCCAACTATGTTATTAAGAGCCAAAGGCTTTGGGGATAATCAACAACAAACAGTAAAAGCGAATGGTCAAAGTTACAACGATGCAATCACCTATAAAGCACAGAAGGGAATACAATGACTCGAAAAATAAATAAATAATAAGAGCTCATGCCAAAACAGCACTCGATTGCAGGAGACAATCGTTTGTAATCCAATACAATCATATGATCAAACACTTTGTTATGTGAGCGCTCCAAAGACGGGATTGTGCCGGCAAATGGAAGGACCTCTTTCCATATATTCTTCTTTCGTATGTGATACTTTATAGAATTCAGGCTAAAACAGGGCGATTAAATTATCACAAAAAATAGGAACCAGACCATTAACAAATATGGCGGAGCGAATCTCAGAAATACGAAAATGGGGTTCGATAAACAAATATAGCTAGGGTCTCCGCTTTCTCCACTACCAAAATACTTACCGTAGAAGCCAACATTGATCCTCCAAACCAAACCGCGTATCGTTGCATTTTATGTGATATTACTTGAACATCGATTGGCTTAGGCTGGAAGGGGAAATTGCGTTATTGAATGTTGCAGCTTGATATTAGGAATAACCCATTGGAAAACTGACCTTTAGATGTCCGCCACTCAGAGCTTCACTAAGAGCCAGTCTATTCTCACTGATTCGCTTGATATCTCGTTGAAGTTTACGAGCGAAATCCTTAAATGTCATTGCTGAAGAAAATTCTCGAAAGTTGCTCAAGCAGCGTTCATACTTCGCGGCGGAATATGGAGCATGTGAAATAAGGAGAATTCTCAAGAGTCGGCGTCAAAGGGAAAAGAATGTTTGTTATCACAAGAGTGCTGAGTTATGGACAAAAGTCAGGCCGCAAACTGAACTCGAACCTGCATCATTCATCGGGCCGTTTGTTATCAAATACGCTCCCAGGCCGCTCTTGTTCATGACGTAATGGATAACGCAACCGCTCGGTAAGCGGAGGATGCGGGTTCGAGTCCCGTCTGGTGCCTGATTTTTGCCGATGATCTACACTCTTGTGATAACTTTCGGAGCGCGCACTGTGGCGTCAAAGAGCAAACATCAAACTAAAACAGCTTCGAAAATGACGTTTTTTTCGCAAAATCAGCAAGGAACGGAAGAATCACAAAAGATTTCAGATGTATTGCTTTCCAATTGTCCAGTTGGAAGGAATCTACCGACTCGAATCTAAACTCAGTTGCCAGCATTTGCGGCAATTCTTCCAATCCTCTGAATCTTTGAATGCTTCAGCGTCCCACCAAACGACTCATGGAGAAGCGTGAGCGTCAGGAAAGTTTACTTCGCACAGAGGTAAACTAATGAAAGATCCATGGTTTGGTTTTCTTGAACGCTATGGTCCATGATTCAATTTTAATGACTCAGCCCTGATAACAAACTCTATCGATAAGCGCCCTAACGATAAGTTTCTAGGCACGTTAATCCACGGACTTCGAAGGGTACAGAGGCTGAGGCTGGTTTTTTTAGCAATTGTACACATTGTTCATTACTATCATCCATGCTACCGCCCGTTTCTCGCAGTTTTCGACAATTGTCTTTACGCGGTTTGAGGATGGGCAAAACGTGGGTTCTGTGACAATAGCAGTGGGTTACTTTTGATTTCAGATCGAAAGGTTATCCAATTTATCACTACTGTCGCATTACAACCTCGCACACTACGTTGTTCTAAGCGCGACTGAATTTGGGGAATAATTTGTGTTCTTACGAATAACATACGATACAATGCTCTTGCGGCAAAGCCCTACGAAACCATTTCCATCAAAACTACCTTGAACATTGTGGAACCTCCTGATAAAACAATATTTTCATATAAGCCTCGACGAACATCGATGGGACACTGTTGTATAACATTATCGATTATATCCGAAATAGGCGTAGTAAAGTCCGGATTAGCGAACTGGAAAGCAAATAGTTCTGCGAAGAAAGGGATTATCTGCGGTGACTCAGACTTAATTTCCCTAAAAGACGAAAAACAATGCAATGAAGGTAAACCTCAGGATGGAAGAAAATTTCTGGACCAAGGAAACGTTCGTATCCTACGTCGACGACAAACTCTTTCTTGGTGATATTATTAATACCATGATAAGTTTTCAACCACTTTGAGCCATCCGTATCATATTTTATGAATTCTTTGAGAATATCAGGGCAAACGTAGCAGTATCTTTCCTGAAAAAAAAAATCATAAATGCTCCATACAAGTGGACAGCCGAGTAAGTAACCTCACCTTGATCGCCTTTGCCACTTCATACGATTGATCCGAAGGAATTGTAGGTTCTCTATCCTCCTCACGTATTGCTGGATAAAATATGTGATATCTCTACCAGCGATGGGGATATGCTTGATACATGATCCTATAACGTATCCTTCCGCAACTGGTATGCAATGGGTTACGCCGTCGCCGGAGTCAACAACCTGTCAAAATAATGAAATAAGACACTCTTTTTCTGTTTTGCATTTCTGCGCTTTTAAAGCAATACATTGTGGTACCCCTACAGATAAACCTCCCAAGAATGCCAAAATCTACTTGTGTGCAATTCCTGCAATCCTTTAGCGGACGTTTACTATGTTACCTACGGGAGATCAAACTCTGTGATGATTACCAGGAATTTGCTGAACTTTTAACTCCCTATTTACTGTTCCTCTGCAGTTTTCTTGCACATTTAAGAAGTGACTGTGAAAATCCCCTACAGAAAACTACCAAGGAAGTTCCGAGACATTGGATTTTTACTCTTGAACCTGTTCGCAAAACTTGGTGAAAGAGTACACTCCTATTTTTTTCTGGCACAAATCATGCTGCCTCAAGTGTAAAGAAACCTTTCGCGCTCGACAAGCAATAGGAGAAACAAGTTTTTTGTAATGACTATGGAC